TGGGATCACCTGGCACCGGTGCCCTCTGTACATTAGCTTCCAGGAAAATTCCGAATAATTGTGTGTGGCCTGGAGGTGGGATTCCACTGGGTCCAGGTGGGTGAGGGAAGGAGCAAATGAGTCATTGAGTCTGGGCCCAGAGCCAAGAGCATGGATAGTGGAGCATTGTTGCCACTCTGAGGCTTGGATGGTCCCCCCCGGGTACTGGTACTTGGCCTTCACTAGCCATTGAATTTAGCCCATGCCAGCTTCCTATAGAGGCAGGGGTGACTCTGGGGCCTACTGGCTGCTGAACACTGCTCTTGAGACTGGAGAGGGGACCCAGTGTGCCTCCAGGGTCCTACTTCCAGCTGGGGCCGGCTCCATCCAGCCCCAGCTGGAGACAGGGTGGGGACGTGGAGGGGACGCTGGTGGTGCAGACCTCCCCTGCCAGAGCAGCCTGTTTCCCCAACCTTGGGCCTCAGAACTCCAAAAACTGCTGGTCTTGGATGATTTCCCAGGCCCAGCCTGTCGAGGAGGGTGTACCTCCCAGCCCCATCTGAACAGGACCTCATTGACTGACCAGCCGGGACAGCTTGGTTTCTGCAGCACACAGCCCCTGACAAGGCCAGATCCAGATTTAACGTTCCCCCAGCTGCTGACTCTGAGCGGCTTGTGAAAATTATCAAGTGTGTGGCCCTGACAGTAGCCTCTGAGGTTTAGGTGACTGTCCTCATTCTCTAGGTAAGGAGTCAGGGGTTCACAGGTCACTTGCCCAAGGTCACACAGCTTGTGAACGGCTGGGCCACTCAAACCCAGTGTGCCAGGCTCCAGAGCCATGCGTGCTCTCAGCCACATTCACAAGGGTGCCCTGGGCTGCATCTGTTTTGCCTCCTTTACTTCTGGGATCCCTCCGCAGAGTGGGAGGAAGTGACCTGGACATATGTCGGCCATACCTGTGTGGCCCACAGTGACTGGCCCTGTGCCCTCGGGAACAGGGAGCTCTGTGCCCAGGGTTGGCTGTGGGTCCCAAGGGAGAGCGCTAGGAAAAGAGGCCACACACAGATGTTGCCTGGTGCTACCCCCTGAGGATAGTATCCCTTCCCTAAAGCTCCCACTCCTAAAAAGACATACCCTTTCTGTGAAAAACCTGCTCCCCAGTCCCCTGGTCCTGCCACCCCTCCGGAGCAGGCCTCAGGTCCAGACCCTGCCCTGGGTGCCCTCTCGCACCTGAGGAGCACACCGCTGTAGAGGCAGATCTGGACATAGACCATGTGGCCTGGATGAGTGGGCAACTCTCTGGGCCTCGAGGTTCTCAGTATGGGAAGGCCATGAGCATGAGGTGCCCTGTGGAGTGGCATTGTCCTTTTCCCCCCACTGTCCCCACTCTCGTGGGAATGACCCCCACCCCCATCCCAGGGGCTGCCGCAGCCCAGGTTCCCTCTGCCTTGGGTTTCTCCAGGAACTCACTGGAATCTTGCAGCTTCAGTAGAATTTGTGTCACCACCCCCGGGCCGATCAGTCTTTAGCTCCTGCACATTCCCCAGAGATCTCCCTCTTCCTGGAAGCACACCCAACCTGGGCCCCACCTGCCCAGGCGGCCTGGCTGGAGGGTAGTCGCTCTCGGGCAGCCTGAGCATCTTCCCAGTCCTCCTAGAAACCCTGTGAGGACAGTATTTTCATTATGGACGCGTTCTTCCTTTCCTTCTGTAACTTTATCTAAAAAACATAAAAGAAAGAAACAGGCTTCGAAGGGTTTCTGTGTGACTCTGGGTTCTCCCGGCCAGTGAGGGGTGGCTCAGGGTGGGGCTGAGAGGCTGCCTTCCAGCACCTTCCAGCAGCTTTGCCTCCCTGCCTGAGGTGTGGGCATTGGAGCAGGCTGCCCCCAACCCCAGCAGCACCCCTAGCAGGCCCAGTGCTGCACTCAAGCCCTTCCCCAGAGGGCCCAGGGGAGTGGGAGCTGGGCCAGGACTGAACCCCTCAGGGAGGAGCACGAGCAACAGGGACACTTTTGTCCAGGACAGATGCCAACGTGCTACGCTCCAGACTAAGTGAAGTGCTGTTAGTTAATTTTCTTATAGCTGTCTTTATGTTATTTGAATTGAGGGGAAACTACTAGAAATGGTTTTGAAGTTATAATTAAAATTTCCACTTGCCTTGGGCAAACAATTGTGGGGTGAATGAAAAGGTATTAATATAGGGAGCAGCTGACTTTAAGAGAAAAGGCTGGCATGAAAGGGAGAGAGAGAAGACAGGAGGGGTGGGTGGGGGGCCTGGCCCTGGCAAGGGAAGCCTGGGTCTCTGTGCTGCCCACGGGAGCCTCATCTTCTGTGTGTCAGATGGAGACAGTGAATCCTTAATCTCTGCTCTGTGCACCTTCCAGAGCTCTCCAGGGTTGTAGTGAGAAATGAGTGGCGAGTGTGTGAGAGACAGGCGGACAGGGCTCCTTGTCAAGTGTGCAGGTCCGGGCAGATGTGGACTCTGCTCAGTCACAGCGTAAAAATACACCTCAGGAGGTGGCGGTCTCATTGGGAGGGAGGGACCCCTGTGGGGCATCTGATCCTTTTGATCCTTCTTGCTGCCCCAACTGTAGTTGAGACAAGCCACTCGAGGCCACTCTGGTTGGGACCTTGGGCAAGCTGCCAGGAGTTGGGTGGGTGCTGTGGGATGTCTGGTGAGAGGGGTCTTTTGGCCCCCACCTGCCTACCATGAGTTGGGTGTCTCTGGGCAGTGTGCTGGCAGAAACTTGGCCTCTGGGTCTTGGTGTCCAGTGAGGCAAATACGGCCAGAGGCCAAGCCAGACACTCAAGCATGGAGGCTGGTCTTAATTGGCACCCTGCCTACCTTCTGGAGCAGTGTGGGCGGCACTCTCCTCGAGACCCCTGCTAATGGGTACTGTGGGGAGAGAGTGGGTATTGGTGACTCACAGTCCAGTCCCATTCCTGCCACTACTTCCCACAAGGCCCCAGGCAAGCCGCTTCACCTGTGCAGAGGGGGAGAGGAGACCCAATTCACAGGGCTGTGAGGACCGGAAAAAACGCCCATTTGCAAAGTGGCTGAGGGCTCCTGTGAGCCACACAGAGCTGGGGTTTCTAGCAGTGCCAGCTTCCCCTGCCGTGGGCCTGGGAAGGTGAAAAGCTTGCAGGCAAAGAAACAGCATGCACGTTGCCCCTCCAGGGGCCCCAGCTCCCCTCGGAAGGCTCCCTCCCCCTGCCTGCTTTCCCTTCGGGTATCCACCCTTGGCCAAGAGAGTTTCCTGGCGGGGGCAGAATTGAGCAGCACATGGAAGTTGCAGCATTAGGTGGGGTGCCTGGGCTTCATAATTAGCAATCTGTTTCTGTTATATGTGCTCTCCTCATTGTCACCAGAAGGTTTGAAAATCCATGAGGAGTGGGTTGCATCAGCGATAAGGGGAACCAAGCATGTGGCCAGAGGCAGGTGGGGACTCCAGAGGAAGGCCAGAGGACTTTTGTCTGAGCCTTAATGTCCTCATTAGTAAAATGGAGATAAGAATCACTGTCCTGAAGAGTTGTCACGAAGCCCAAGTGGGATAATATGTCAACTCTCAGCATGTCTCCGGAAATTGGTGGCTGCTCAGTAAATGTTCGTTTCCCTGTTTGTCCTGGGATGCAGCTTCAGGCTTGCAGACGAAGAGCTTGCTGAGGGTACAGGATCTGATAAAGCTGGGAGCCACGTGGGATTGAATTGGTGACATCTAGGTGGAAAGAGTTATGTGAGCACTAGGGGTGATTTTAATTACACAGCCCCTCAGCCTCCAGTCAGGGGGCCTGGCTGCCTGATGCCCACTTGACTGGTCCATCTGGTGCTCAGCTGGAGTCATGGCACTGGCATGAGCCAAGCTCATTAATTATCATCTCTTCTTAGCCGAGGATCTCTTGGTAAGGAGAGAACCCCAGGAGGGCTGCCTGCTCACCACTGGCTGCACACATCTGGGCGGGCACAGCCAAGCCTGTCATTGTCCTCTTTCCTCAGATGTCCCTGATCCTGATCTTGTCTGAGACGCTTGGAGGCTTTCCACTGTTACCCTTCTTGCAGTTCCAGGGCTGGAGGGAGCACCTTTAATGAGGGGCCCTGCCAGCCCCAGCTGAGGAGCCCACACTAGAACCTTGGGAACAGGCTGACATCTTGGATGGGAGCAGGTAGAAGCAGTGCCACCTGGGAGGTACCTACCTCCTCAGAGACAAAGCGATCCCAAGAAATGGCTTGCAGAGAGCTGTCCCCCAGACCAGGGTAAACTCTGAATAAAGCCAGACCTCTTCTCCTAGAAGAAGATTTGAACAGAAGTTTCAGGCAAATCTTCACTGTACACCAACATTGTGCCAGGCAGCGTGCTAGGCACTGGGGAGCAGCCCAGAGCTCAGAATTGAAAGATCTGCTGCGCCCCTGCATGGCTGTGGCAGGGCCAAGGAGACCGTGCCTCCCAGGCTGGCATCACATGCTGGGGCTGGAGTTTACTCATCGAAGTCCACTGTGACACTGTGACCCTGTAAGATTTCACTGCCGTTCCCAATTTACAGAGAGGACTGAGGTTCTGAGAGGTTATGGGAAGTGCCCAGAGTCTGGAGGGTGGATCCGTGTCTTGCTGCACACACGTCCCTACTGTGCTGCAGCAAACTGCTAGGTCAGGGCCATGTGGCTGTGCTCCGAACTCCATCACTAAGAAGCCTTCTCCCAAGTCATTGGCTTCCTGTGCAGACTTGGTGATGGGGATCCTGATGAGCTACCCGGTGCCCTGAACCATATGGCTGGCCTGGCTGTGGGCCTCGAAGGGTGGCTGTCCCTGGGGTTTCTGACCCCTCACTGGGCTCTCGTGAGAGGCCCCGAGACGAATCACCTGGCAGGCATTCTCACACTTGGGGTCTCAGGGTCCCTGCACTCTGTTCCCCACCTGGGCTTCATAATTAGTAACATGTCCTTGCCAGTGTCCTTGCCATCTGATGACCAGCGCTGAGCCCTGGGGAGCCAGCCTCACTCATTCTGCGTGTCTCTGTCTTTCCCAGGGCAGTGAGGTGCCAGGCTCCACCTTTGCTGATGGCGAGCTGCTCCCCAGGGAGCCTGGCTTCTTTCCTGAGGATGAGGAGGAGGCTATGACACTGGCCCCGCCCGAGGGTCCCCCAGAGTCCGACATGGACAGCCCCATGGAGAGCACCCAGAGCCTGGAGGGGTCAGTCGGGAGCCCTGCCGAGGAGAAGGACGGGGGTCTCGGGGGCCTGTTCCTGCCAGAGGACAAGTGAGTTAAAACTGTCTGCGACCCCATGTGTGACCCCTGGGCCCAGAGGTGTGGTTCTCAGGAGGGGTCTCCTGGAAGTAAACATGAGGTGCACTCAGGATTCGCATCACAGGCCTAAGTTTCATGGGTGTTCTGAACAGCAAAAATTCTAAGCAGCCTAAATGCTCAACAGTAGGGCTAGTTCTAGAATTTTAGGCAGCCTTGCAAAGTCAAGCTGAATTGACTGTTTAATGATATGGGATATCTGATCTCAATTATTTTTTAAAAGGCAGGTTACAAAGATATCAGTGAGGTATGATCTTAGTTTTGTTAAAAAATTATATATATATAAAATAGTTATATATATAAATGCCTAGGAAAAATTATTCCAGAAAATCAGCAGTTCTTTCAGGATGGTGAGATTATTGATTGTTTTAATTACCTCCCATATTTGCTATATATTCTGTATTTTCTTTATTGCTCGTGTGTTCTCATAATCAGAAATGTTATTTTAAAGTGATATTAAGACCTAGTGACTTCACAGTGGTCCCTGGCATTCTTTTAGTTGGTGTCATCTTTTAGTTAGTGTCAGCAGAGGGAGGCCCTTTCCTCCCAGCCCTCTCTCTGTCCCTGGAGGGATGATGCAGCTGAGGGGGCTGTGACAGTTGGGAGTTGGCATCCTGTGTATCAGGAGAAGGTAAGGTCACAGCTGACCTTGAGATTTGGAGAGGCAGGGGAGGGGTTCCCATATCAATCAAACCATAGGAAACTGTCAATTTTTAATAATTTTTAACCTTTAAAAAAAGGCAGTTTCATATGGTTCAACCTAATACAGTTCCACAGTGCAGGAGTTCTCAAACTCGGGGCTCTGGGAGCTCTTGAGACGGGCCTGTGGAGTTTATCCACGTGCTGCCTGGGAGAAGCGCGCAGCTGTACCTGTGACCAACCACCCAAGGACAGACACCTGGTCACCACCTGGTCACCTGTTGGCCTTTTGGCTAATCATTTGCCACTTGATGGTTCCCATTGATTCCTGGGGCCACCAGTCACCAGGAGGCAGCCAGCAGCAGGTGCCAAGTTTAGTAAAATCTATAGATGCAGCAAGGAGTGTGATTAACTCAACCCGAGGTGCTACGGAACCTGACGGCAGATAAGCAGATGCAACTGAGTGGAGGTACTGGGAGACTTCATCTTTAGCACCTTGTCATCAACACTGCGATTCTTAGATAGAGCCTGGGGTTCCTCTGGGGCACAGCTTGAGAACCATTGCCTTAACCCATTACACACTCGTTTCAGGTCTGTGAGTGTGGAGGCTCAGGAGGTTGGAGAAACCCTAACTTATGCGTAATACCCAGGGATTACTGCAGAATGACTCACGGGCAGATATATCTTGGCAGGTGATGAGCTGGACTTCCCTGTGTTCTTAGGTTATAGACAGGGCACCACCAGCTCTGATACTGTCACCGGCCACACCATGGGTCACCTATGGGAGGCGCAGGATCTCTGACCTGTGTTCCTTGGAATTAGGCTTCTTTGGACTAGAAATCCCCTCTGTAAACTGGGAGAAGCATCTCATCTGGTAGCTCACTGTTATTTGTTTTAAAACTTCGTTTCATTATTAAAGAAGTACAAGCCAATTAAATAGAAGTTGGGAAAGTGAGAGTGGAGGGAATTTCCTCACCCCAAGCCAAGCTCTGTTACCACTTCAATTGTTTTATTTCCAACTTTTCCTTACGCTGTGTAGACCTTTATCATGCTCAGTCTTATTGTATCTAGAATTTTATGTCCAACTTTAACATCTAGTATTTTTCCACATTGCCAATATTTTTATAAACCTTTCAACAATGATCAGATAGTCCATAGTTTAATATTTTAATGTATTATAATTTAATAAGTATAACTTAAGGTAGCTGGAGGTGAGCCATTAGGCTATAAGCAAGGTTTGCTGCCCTAGAGGAGCAGGGGTTTGAATCTCTCTCGGACAGAAACAGTTTCTGTGGTGAGATACTTCCCTTAAGATAAGGTCCCAAAAGTGTTTTTACCAGGTCACAAGGTACACATTAATCAGGCCCCCGGCTTCTGTAGGACCAGTGGACCTCCTGGTAGGACTGGTAGCTTTCCCCACCCCAGGCTGTGGCCCCAATAATGGGCAGCCCTTCTCTAACACCAGGTCCCAGGGCCACACGCCATCCATGACGACGTCAGACCTCTCCACACATTCCACCACCTCGCTCATCAGCAACGAGGAGCAGTTTGAAGACTACGGAGAGGGGGATGACGTGGACTGTGCCCCCAGCAGCCCCTGCCCCGACGACGAGACCAGGACCAACGTCTACTCGGACCTGGGGTCTTCCGTGTCTTCCAGGTGGGCCCCTTGGTCTGGAATGGTGTTTGGGGTTCAGGAAAAGTGGCAGAACCATCCCAACTTCATCCCCGAAGGGTTCAGTGGGCAGAGTCCTGAGCTACATGGGTTCTGCTCCTGGGGTTTGGGGGTGCTGCATTTGTCCCTGATTGGGGGTCTGGAATTTCTCCTCCCTCCTCCGATCTTGGGGAAGAAATAGACTTAACCATCCTGGGAGGCTGCAGGCCCGGGGGTCTTTGTTGTCTTGTTTTCTAGAACCTTGGCGTTGAAAGATTCTTCCAGGTGGCATACCTTATACCTTCCCACACCCGAGTCATTACTTACTCAGACATTAGCTCTCAGTTGCCTTATCTGTGAAGTAGGTACAACTCATTGGCTTTTTCTCTTTGAGAGTTTTGGAGGAGGGGAGATCCGGTGCTATCCTCCCACTCCCCACCCTCAAGCACACACACACAAGGTCCCCAGGTATTGGGGAACCCAGTAAAACAAACTCAGCAGGATGGGGTGGGCACCAGACTGGATGACTATTAAGAAGGGATCACCTTCTCTCTCACGAATCAGTGCTGGGCAGACACCTAGGAAAATGCGGCACGCGTACAACAGCGAATTGCTGGATGTCTACTGCTCTCAGTGCTGCAAGAAAATCAACCTGCTGAATGACTTGGAAGCCCGACTAAAAAACCTGAAGGCCAACAGGTGAGGCCCCCACCCAGCATGGGGGTGGGTGGCGAGGTGGGGGCAGGTCACCAGGTGGGGGCAGGACGCCAGGGTGAGGGCCAGGATGGGAAGCAGCAGGGAGGTGAGAGCACTCAGAATGGGGTTGATCCTTGGGGTCTGTGTTTTTTGCAACAGGAAAATCAGGGTGCTGCTTCTCAGGAGCAAGCTGATTAGTAAAATCCCACCGGTGGGCTAGAAAAAGGCTTGGCCCGCACTGTGGTATCTTGTAGCCAGGACAGAGGAAGGGAAGACCAGAGCCCTGCCGTTAAATGACCGTCTCTCCCCCCTCTCTCTTTCTTTCTTTCTCTGTAGCCCCAACCGAAAGATTTCTAGCACAGCCTTTGGACGGTAAGGTCCCCCTCAGGGGAGGACAGGTTGAAGCTGTCCCTGCTGCCAGGGTGGCCAGCTCCATGCCAGCAGTCTAGACCCAGGCGGTGCCCTGCGCCCTGTATGTGGCTGAATGAGCAGAGGGGAAAGCCGCGTGCCAGGCAGTGCAGGCAGAGCCACCAGAAAAAGAAAGGCCAGCCTCCTGTCCGTCCCCATGATGACTGCCTTGTCCCTCTGGCAGTCATCAGCATCTGCAAACCCTCAGCTGCCTCAACCTCAGACGGGCACACGAGGGGGGCCCTGGGAGACACAGCCCACTTCTCAGCTTTCAGTGCCCTGCCCTGTGCTCTGGAGCTGGCAGCTGTACCAACAGAGACCCTGGGCTTCCTGCCAGGAGAGGTAGGCGTGGTAGCTGCTCAGAGTTAAATCCCACATAGCTGACTTCCTGGGACTACCAGGATCCCACTCTGGTTCTCCTGCAAACTGGCCTCAGGTCTACTCTTAGGGCTCTGGGAGTTGCCGGTGAGCGCCCAGGCTGTGGCCCAGGAGCTGGGCTGAGACAGCCTCTTAGTGGGACCCTGGCTGCTGCCTATCAGGGAGTGGGAAGTGGGAGCCCCTGGGGAATGGCAGCTTGGTTTTGCCTCAGGCAAGAGCTACAGCATCTTCCTGTTTCCATGTTTCCCGTCTCACCCCCCAACCCACTGCCCAGCACAATCTGGGTGGGTCTTCCTCCTTTTGCCTTTCCCCAGGGTCCCCAGAGATATAGCAGGAGCTGGCCTGGTGGAGGGCACTGAATTCTGCTTACTGGGTGGCCTCCAGGGCCCAGACCTTCTGCTGGGACCATGGAGCCAGGCTGCCTTCACTGGGCGGTTTTCCAGCTGGAAGGGGTGGGGGGTTCTGGTCACTTGGTAGCTACACCTGTGTGAAAAGGGTTCTGAAGCATCAGGAAAGAGCCATGATGGGTTGGCCATGTCTTCCAGGGCTCAGGGGTGTAGCAGCCCATCTGCCATCCTCTGTGCTGGATGATCTTGTGAGTTCAGAGGTCAGGCAGCTCTTCTCCCCTGGGTGGGTAAGGACAGCCTCCTTAGAGGGGGTTCTCCCCCTCACCGGGGATACTGGGTGCTCACACAGCCCATGACCTGAGTCTGAGCCCCAATCCCCAGAGGGCTTCTGCAGCCAGACACACCTCCCTCCACCCCGCAGGCAGCTCATGCACAGCAGCAACTTCAGCAGCAGCAACGGCAGCACTGAGGATCTGTTCCGGGACAGCATTGACTCCTGTGACAATGACATCACGGAAAAGGTGGGCCCTGCGTGGAGGAGTGACTTAGTGTGTACATGCTCCCTGGGGGTGGCAGGGATGCCTTCTGGGGGCTTGGGAGACCTGTCCCTTCCCAGGATCCCATGGGCACATCCATCCCCACCCCTCTCCCCACTCCCACAAAGCATGACTGTGCTCTTCACACACAGCTGGAGGGCCTAGCCATCAGTCCCATGGTTCTAGGTTCTCAGTCCTGGGGACTCAATGGTCTTATCCATTCACCTCTGCCCCCTATTGTAGGTGAGCTTCCTGGAGAAAAAGGTGACAGAACTGGAGAATGACAGCCTGACCAATGGGGACCTGAAGAGCAAGCTGAAGCAGGAGAACACCCAGCTGGTGCACAGGTCAGGGGCTGTGGCCTAACTTTGGGGGCATTGGCTGTGACTCTGGGGAACAGAGGGCTCTCCCTGTTGCTAAGGCCTATAAGAGGAGCTAGAGGAGGTAACCTGCATGCCAGCTCTGAGGGTCCATGACACATCATGGCTCTACCCTTGCTACATGGGTCTGCCAATGCAGGGTGCCCAGGAGGGCAGGTCTTTGGGGACAGGAAGATAGGTAGGAACCTGACCTTGACCCTCCAGTTCTGCAGCCCCAGAGCATGTCTAAGGCAGAAGTTTGGGGATCCACTCCCCTGTCTCTGTCCTACAATGATAAGAGCCTGACCTGCCATCCTGGGGACCAGCCTTGCACAGGGAGAGGCCTGCACTGAGTTAGTATGCTGCCTGTGGGAAAAGTCCCGGTGTTGCTGCTCCCTCCTCCCCATGGAGGTCCACTGAACACGATGTTCCCCAACACTGACTGTAATACGTTAGTGCACATAGCGTTTAGTCGTCCTCACAGGATAGGTTAAACTTGTTAAACTGATCCCCGCCCAGGTACTGATCCTCAACCTGTAGGGCCCAAAGATGGGCCATTTGAACCACCCCCAGAAGGCCAGCCTCATGGAGGGACTCTTGCCAGTGAAATGTGCCCCAGATTGATGTACCATCTAGGCCACCAGTAGTGGGGTTATAACATCCATAATAGGGCCTGGCCCTTTCCCAGGTCTGGCATGCTCAGGGCCACTAGCCAGGAGTCAGGATGCCCAAAAGCTGGATTATTGACTAAAGGGGCACTGGCCAGGAAGGTAGAGAGCAAAAAGAGGAGGTGAGACCTGAGAGCTGTTTCATTCAGCTGTGGCGAGGCCTGTCA